TTGAATCTAATGTGAATTTTATTAGTTGATTTTTGATTTTTTTTTTTTTTTTTTTACTAACCTGTTGTTAAGTGCCATCAAGTTAGTTCTGACTCATAGTGACCCAGAATAGGAGTTCTGGTGTGGGGTTGTGGGTTTGAACTGCAAAGTTGGTTTGAACTACAAGGTCGGCAGATTAAGCTCATCAGCTGCTTCTCAGAAACCCTATATAGAGTCACTATGGGTTGGAACCAACTAGATGGCACTTAACAATAACATTGGGTTTCAGAGGAGAATTTGGTGAATTTGAACTATCTACCCTGAAGGAGCTCTGGCAGTGTAGTGGTTACGAATAGGGCTGCTAACCTCAAGGTTGGCAGTTCAAAACTACCAGCTGTTCTGTGAGAGAAAGATGAGGCTTTTTGCTCCCCTAAAGATTTGTAGCCTCGGAAATCCTGTGCAGGGTCACTATGAGTCGGAACTGACTCCACTGTTCTTTGGAGTCCTGGTGTGGCGCTGTGGGCTAATGCATCAGACTGCAGTGTCATTTGAACTGCAAGGTCGGTGGTTCAAGCTCACCGGCTGCTCCTTGAAAACCCTATACAGGGTTGCTATGGGTCGGACTCGACAGCACTTAACAACAACCTTGTGACTAGAAGTCTAATGCTTATCCTGCAGTGCCACATCAAGATTCAACCTAATACATTATGATTATGTTAAGTCATGCTTTTTATACACTCATGCAGAATTGAGTTGCCTTGTATATGAGTGTGGAGTCCTGGAGTGGTGCTATGGGTTAATGTGCTGGACTGCAAAGTCAGTTTGAACTACAGGGTTGGAGGTTCAAGCTCACCATCCATTCCTCGGAAACCCTATATAGATAGGGTTGCTATGGGTCTGAACCGACTTGACAGCACTTAACAGCAACATACATGGGTGTATGTGTGCATCTCTGTTCATTTGTTCATTTTTTTATATTTTCATAAGTGAGATTGACATCTAATTTTCCTTTTTTGTATGCCTATGGTGCTGACCTCAAAAAATTAGTTGGGAATATTCCTATTCTGTTCTTAGAAGTACTAACTACGACTAGTGTTCTTTCTCCCTCAAGAGTTTGTTAGTGAACCCATATGCTGCTAAAGTAATTTCTGGAGTAATTATAAGACTATTCAGGTTTTATATCTTTTCTTGAGTCAATATTGGTAAATTACATTTTTAAAGTATTTTGTTTATTTGATCTAAATTATATTTATTGGCATAAAATTTTTCATAACTTTTTTTTTTATTGTCTGCAACAAGTGTAACAATTTCATTTGTGATTTTAGGTATTCAGGTGTTTGTTTCTTTTTCTAGATCACTTGCTATTATACAAGGGCATTTCAAGAAGTCTCTAAAGATGGGATTAAAAGATCATAGAATTTTTCTCCAAACTCTTTGAATCTCCCTCATATGCTTGCTTTCATATTTGCTCATGTGTTCTCTGAACTGTTTGTTCCCTAATTTGTTTGTGGCTGTTTTGGGTTATTAGATGCACTATTTGAAAAACCGTGCCCGGAGGCAAGGTATCACACTAAAACTTCTACCCAATGGATTCACCAAGAGAAAAGAAAATTCAACGTTTTTTGATAAGAAGTAAGTTCCTAATGTCTCTGTTAGCATATTAGGTGTCTTGATTTTTCACAGACATCCTTTAAGGTTTGGTTTGTTCTGAGCATTGCTATTGTTATTTGTCCACAAGTAAATTATTGGATAATACCTTTCATAAATTTGAAGATAAGAACCATCAAAATTAGCATTATTCTACTAAGCAGAAAGCTTTTCAAAGGGCATTATATTATTAGATGCTGTTATCCACTTATTATATATGTTTAAGACTTATATTTATAAAAGTGGGAGTTTTTTCTCTCGGCTTCCAAAGTAAAATGTCTTGAAATTATCAAATACAAGGGTATTCCTTTGTGCATTTGGTAACTGACAGACTTAGAAATTGGCATGAATTGTTTGAATTTTAAGGTAAACTGATTTGTACTTTATTAAATTAAAATGTATTTTATGACGGAAAAGATTCAGAATGATTCTCATCAGAGCTAAGAAAGCCAAAGAACTTACTGCCTCAAATATAATTATTTTGTATCTCTAGATACATGTGATGGGAGTCTTTTTCTAAGAATATATTCAGTGTATATTCTAGGTTTAGAACCCAAATTTGCTTATCATTTCCATTTTGGACATCCCAGGTTTCTAAGGTGGCAAATTGCAATTCTTGCATTATATTTTTCACTCAGGAATTTAGAGTAATTTAGAGTTGTGGTGTTTTTTTTAGTGGTTTCTTATGATATATTAGCAGCATAATGCTTGAGAGTCAATTTCCTAGTCTTTTTTGTCATCTTGTTGTTGTTAAGTGTTGTTGAGTCAATTCCAACCCATAGTGACCCTGTATAGGGTTTTCGAGGAGCAGCTGGTGAGCTTGAAGTGCTGACCTTGCAGTTCAAACGGCTTTGTAATCTGGCGCATTAACCCACAGTGCTACACCATCTAGATACATCTAAATACCGAAATTGATATAGCTATCTTGTAGACTCGTGGCCTTTGTGTATTAACTCACCCAGAGAGTGACTGGTATGTCAGAAGGATTTGATATATAGTTGGTGTTAGGTGCCATCAAGTCAGTTCCAGTGACCCTGTATAGTTTTTTAAAAAGAGTGACTGGTGGGTGTGAATTGCAGATGTATGCATTGTTGTGTGCTGTTGAGTCAGTTCCAACTCATAGAGACCTTGTATAGGGTTTCCAAGGAGTGGCTGTTGGGTTTGAACTGCTGACCTTATAGTGCTTAGCTTGCAACACATAAATTACAAAAATTTTCACCTAGTTTTTTATTCTTTCTTTGTCTCCCTAGCCTTATGATGCATTTTTATATACCTGTGAATACTGTATGTAAAAACTTCTATATAACATTTGTTGTTGTTGTTGTTAAGTGCCATCCAGTCAATTCCGCCCCATAGCAGCCCTATGGAGGGTGTCCAAGGAGCTGCTGGTGAGCTTGGACCACCAACCTTGCAGTTCAAACCAACTTTGCCGTCCAGCACATTAACCCACAGTGCCACATCAGGACTCCTTCTATTGTAGCATGTTGTTGTTGTTAAGTACTGTAGAGTCAGTTCTGACTCATAGTGACCCTGCACATGAGAGGCTGCAAATCTTTATGGGAGTAGAAAGCCTCATCTTTCTCCCTTGGAACAGCTGGTAGTTTCAAACTTCCGACCTTGAGGTTAGCAGCCCGATTTGTAACCACTGCGCTACCAGAGTTCCTTTCTATATAACATGTTGTTGTTGTTAAGTGCCGTCGAGTTGGTTCCGACCCAGAGCGACCCTAATTGAGGGTTTCCGAGGAGTGACTGGTGAGCTTGAACCACCAACCTTGCAGTTCAAATGGCTTTGCAATCTGACACATTAACCCACAGCGCCACACCAGGACTCCAACTGAAACAATAGGACACCTTAAAAGTATTGGTTCATTCTAACCCAAACATTCTTCATTGTGGAAGTTTTTGACAGAGCTCTGAACCAATTTCCAGTTCAGTTATGGCTAATGAAGCGAAACTAGCTCAGACCTAAATTTGTAAAATGTGAATGAACATGAACTATAAACAGAAAAAATTTACTGACAGATGCCTTGCTGGAAACTCAATCTCCCTTTTAGAAAAGGGGTGGTGTGATGTTGCGTGGTAATCAAATCTTTTGAACCACAATGATGCTCTGCACAAAGATGGTGCCAACCAGGCTGCTCTGACTGTGTGTCACTTTCTAAGGTCCTGTCAGTAATCCCATCTCTCACATCAGGCTCCTGACAGGGCTCACTATGCCTAGTTCCATTCTCCCAACCCAGGACTTTGTACGTACCCCTGATTTTCCTATTCCAGTTAACCATTCTTCTTCACCCACATTTTAAATATTGAGGTCTCTTCCATTTTGCTTTAGCCATGACTGAATTGGTTCGAAGTCCCAGTCTTTGACTAGTATGACTATGAATCTCCTAAAATCATAGGCAAAATTATGGTATGTGAATTTTTCTAAGAATAACAATTACAGTTTTCACTGAATAGTCAAAGTGAAGTGTAATATTAGCCAGTGTATGCAGACAAAAATGTATTTAATAGCAGTGAATTTCAGCAGACTGAGGAATTATAGAACAGGCAGAATGAATATCTGTAATGAACAAACAAAAGTTAAAGGATACTTGTTGAGGTAAGTCAAGACTGACATTCTTTATTAAAAAATAGAGGCACTTGAACAGGAAATAGACCCAAGGTTTCTAATTTGGCTCTCATCATAGAGTGTATCCAGGGTAAGTCAAAAATTACCCACACTCTAGCTATAGAGTTTATTTTAATTAACTTTTACAAAAGACAAATATATCATTGTTCAACATAATCTCCTTGCTTGTCAATACACTTTGTCCATCTGTCAACAACCTTTAGTATTCTCTTAATTTAAAATGTTTCAAGCTGAGTGTTGAGCTAGAAATGCACCACTGTCTTCACTTCTTCATCAGAGGTGAATCTTTGTCCTCGAAGGGCTGCTTTCAGGAGAACAAACAAGGGAAAGGCAGATGAAGTAAGATCAGGACTATAGGGAGGATGCTTTAATGCCTCAAAACAAAGTTTTTGCAGAGTATCACAGGGTGTGCAGAAATGTGTGAATGTGCATTGTCATGGAAGATCCCAATGCCTGTGGATAGCAGTCTCTGCATTTAATCCAAAGTTTAGGCTTCAGCTCTTCATTGAGCATCTCACTGTAACCAGCACTGTTGATTATTGAGCTTTTTCCTGAAAGTGTCCCAATACTGGTTTTGAGAATCCCAGAAAATTGTAAGCATCAATTTTCCAGCTGATGGGTTGACTTTTGAGCTTTTCCTTGGTTGGCAATTGAGGATGTTTCCATTCCATACTCTGCTGTTTACTCTCAGGCTCATAGTGATGAATCCATGTCTCGCCACCAGTAACAATTTTTTAAAAGAAACTTTTACCTTCCTTTGAGTATCAGTCCAGATTTTGTTTGCAGATGTCCAAACATTTTTGTTTATACTTTTCCAAGAGTTGTTACAGTACCCATCTTGCACAAACTTTTTGAAAGCCATTTATGTCATAGATATTTCGTAGGCAGAGAGAGCCATGGCTGATTTGCAAATGATCCACCACATAATCCACTGTCACTCGTCTGTTCGACAGAATCATTTCATGTACTCACTCAATCTTTTCATCAGCTGTGGAGACAGCTGTTTACAGTGGTAAACAAGCTGTTTCAAATGGGTGTTTTAATCTAATGGGAGTGCGACTAATTTTTTACTCTTTTATGTCTTCTTTCACCTGGTGCTAATAAAAATCTATGTTGAAAGAAATATGAAAGTTCTAAATAAAGAAACCTTAAACTCCATTCTGAATGACTTAAGAAGAAGACTGAGTAAATGGAAAGGGTACCTTGATCTTAAATATTTTTATATTATAAAAATAACATTTACTTCTTAAATGATCTGTAAATCTAAAGTCATCTAAGTAAAATAGCAGTAGAATTTTCTTCTCTTTTTTTGACAAGAAGGAAGCTGATCATTTGAAAAGGAAACATGAAGTAAGTACTAGGGAAACCCTGAAAAGGAACAGTAATGAAGCTGACTCATAATATATTAAAATTTATGAAATTCTAGTAACTAAACTTTTATGGTGCTGGAATACACACCTACTGATGGAATAGTTTGGATTGTGCAAAATTAATACAGGTATGTTTGCCTACTCTATGATCAAAGTAGCATTTCAAATTAATACCATAATTATTCAGTAAATTCGGTTAAGTAGTGTTTGCCAGTTTAGTTGGATATTTTAATAAGATAACTTCCAGGTAGGTCAAAATTTACACCTTAAGATCAAAATATATTAGAATATTTTCAAAATGAAGAAAGGTGATACCACATTCAGAATGCATAAGGGAAATATACCCATACATTTATTTTTTTTAATTTGGTATCAAACTAAATCAGATTTAAGTCAAAAGACAGACTAGACAAATGAGAAATCTTTAACATACAAGGGGCTTTAACATGCAAGTATGGAAATATGGAATGAAAAGATCATGGAATTTTCATGAAGTTTTTGGTGGTCCAGGCACAATGTAAACATTTCCATTACAAATAGGAGCAATTGAAGCAAAACAAGGGATAATGGGCACCAGTCTAAAATCTAACAGAACAATTTATGTTAGTTGTCAGAACTTGAAAATAATCCTCTGTTCTCTAAGACTAAGGGCCCTGCCCTCTAAACTCTGGCTGGTAGCCATGCTGTCTGAATTTTGAGTGGAGGCCCCTCAGCTTGAGATTCAGCTCTGCTTTTCAAGCCCACTTTCCCCTCAGCTTTGCACAGTCCCATTCTCCTAATTTCACTCAAATTAGGAGAATGGCCCCTTTCTTCTTCCACCTTGGGCATGGCAGCCCTGTCCCTCAATTTTGGGAGGCAACCCCATAAACTGGCAGGAGTTGGCAAATTTCCAACTCTTCTAAATAAATGTAGGAAGCTCTGGCTGCACTCTTAGATATCCCAGAAGCCCTCCCTTTTGAAAATGAGGCAGCTCTGTTTTCCATGCT